CCCAGGCCCCGCCCACACCCCAGGCTCCGCCCCACACCCTAGGCTCCGCCCCTTGCCCAGCTCCGGTTCCTGCGGGTTAAAGGTGCACAGCAGCCTGCGCGGGAGGCCCTGAACGATGGGAGGACAATCTGCTGTCCAGGGAGCTGGACCCCTGCCCAGGATCAGGTCTGGACATCTTTGCTGCCTCTGGCCGGCCAGCAGGAGCTCCCATGGCATGTGTCCCGAGGTCCTGGCTGTCCAGGCACCGTCTGGGGCTCGGCCTGACCCCTCCTCCCCAGCGCTGGCAGATGCCCGAGAGGCACCGGGCGGCTCCCGGTGGGGACGCACCGCCCGGCTCAGTGCCCAGAGAAGACGACCAAAGGTGCCCACAAGGGGCTGAGCAAGGCAGGCGACAGGTGGCTGCAGCCCGTGGGACAGAGACCTGGGAGAGAGGAGTGGGGGGCTTCAAGGGGGACAGAGTGTCCAGTCAAGGGCGCAGGGGCCCGAGAAACGGTCCTAGAGGGACTGGGCAGCGTGGACGTCACCGTCTAAGTGGCACCGGCGTGCAGAACTGTGGGCCAGGGTCGTTCTGCAACCCCAGAGCGTTGTCACCCACCCCCCAAACCCAAAGGACATCCCGAGGCCCTCCCTGTCCCCCGCCTGGTCCCTGGCAGCCTGCAACGCCCTGCGGACCTCCTGAGCTGGACGCTGTGTCCCGCAGCCCCGGCCTTGCCCACGGATCCCGGCAGCCAGGGCCAGCGCCCTGCGCTCCCAGCCTCCTCCGTCTCCGCTTCCTAAAAATGCAACTTCTCGGCGACTCTTTGCTCAGCAACCGGCTATTTCCGGACCGACTTGTGCTCAAACCGTGTTGGCAGAGGACGGGGTCCGGTGGGGTCCGGGGCTCGAGGTCCCCGCAGGCAGCATACGCAGCCCTTCGGAGATGGACCGTGGGGGACCTCGGCCTCTCCTAGGGGCTGTGAAAAGCCCCCAGGTCAGTGCTGAGCAGAGTCCCCCCTCTGGGCGCCCTGCAGGGCCGGCCACCCACACCTAGAGGCATGAGGCTGCCCTCGGGGGTCAGTCTCCCGTGACCCCAGAGGCAGTGGCCAATGCCCACCCACTAGGGGGCAGCAGGGGCCACGGACCCAGCGCCCTCCCCAGGACCAGCTTCCTCCTGGGCTGCCTGCAATGTCTGAGCGCCACTGTATACGCGGAAACCCCAGGTCATGGACGCTGCTGACCAGGGTCTGTGGATCGTGGAAAAAGCTGCGAATCGGAAGGTCCGGCATTTCTGACGTGGGACTTTGTGGACTAAGTACAGCAAGCGGGCCTCCAAGGGACACTGCAGAGTCTCCTGCGTCCCTCCTTGGGGACTCCGTGCCCCGCAAGGATCTGCAGGGCCTGCTCCGTTTATGTCTCCAAGACAAACCGTCATTGGCCACCTGTCGACCGGCTCGGGAGGCCAGGGCAGGAGGATGGAGAGTTCAAAGCCAGCCTCAGCCAAAGCGAGGCCCTAAGCAACTCTGTGAGACACTGTCCCTAAGTAAAATGCAAAATAGGGCTGGGGACGGGGCTCAGGGGTCGGGTGTCCCTGGGTTCAATCCCTGGTACCCCAATAAATAAATAAACAATCATCAACTTCTCCCTCTGACCAGCAGTAGTCACAGAGGACAGACGGGTGCAGATGGTGGACACGAGGTCCAGGGGACAGTTCTATCAACGGCCCCCGGTGCTGACCCCACAGCTTCCTCCCCCGAAGCCCTGGACCTGCAGCCCTGCCTGGCCTCCGGGCACAGCCTCCGCCACCGTCCTCACACACCACCTGTGACCTGCAGGGGACATGCAGGCGGGAAGTCACGTCCCTGAGGGGAGCCAGGGGACCCTGAAGGGGGGACTTGTGGGACCCTGACGCAGACCAGGTCCCGGGACCCAGGGGGACGAGGCTCCTTCCTCCAACCCTAAAATCTGCAAGAACAGGTTCCAC